CCCATGATGGAGCTGGAGCTGCGGCTGCAGCCGGCGCTGGCCGTCGGTCGCTCCGCGCTCTGGGGCCGTTGCCCGCTCACATGCTGCTGCCGCCGCGGCCCGGCGCCGTCTGCCCGGCACGGCCCGCCCCGTCGAGGTGCGGGTGGCGAGCGCCGCCCCGCGGCCCGGCCCGGCCCCCCCGCCCCCGTGCCCGTCTCCAGCTTCGTGGGAAGCGCCGGTGCCGGTGGCGGGGCGGGGGGGCTGCGGGGGCCGGGAGAGCGACCGGGCGCTGCGGGGGGGTCAGGGACGCGTCCCCCGTCAAGGTTTTGCGGGAGCGTTTCGGAAGGGGCGCGTGTGAGCGGGCCCGTGGGGAGTTTCGGTTGTTGGTTTGTTGATTTACAGAGTTTTGATGGTTGGTTTGTCGGTGATGTGGGGAGTTTTGATGGTTGGTGTGTTGATTCCCGGGCGCCCGGCGCCGAGAGCGGAACTCCGGTGGCCCGGGAAGGAGCTGCCGCGGCGGCGCGTCGGTAAAAGAACGTGCGGCTCAAGCAGCGGGGGCGTTCCTGGAGGGGACAGACACCGACGGGCTCCTGAATAAGTCCTTCGGTGCTTCTCCGGTCTGCGGGAGGGATGCGAGAGCTTCTGGCTCCTTCCCGTCAGCTTCCTTGGGAAGGATCTTCCTCCGATGTCTCGGGTGTTGCTGGCTCTGCCTCGGTCGAGCTGTTGGTGGCCACACCGAGGGTGGCATTTCTGAGTGCCTGGCCGGCATTCAGGCAGCCGTGCAGCTTTTTGAACAGATCCTTTTTTTTTAGTCTGCATCCAAAGTTCAAATTAGCCAATCTGAAAAGTAACGGTCCATCATGTGCACATCAAACATTACTATATGAAAATGAGGCAAACAAACCTTTTGTTGGTCAATTGTTTGCACAAGTAGAGACCGACCCTTGTTTGCCTGAAAAGCCCAACAGAAAGGCTAATAATTGTGCAAACACATTGAGTGTTCACAGTCCGATTCAGCGGTGCCCCCACTCTTGAAAATGGTTAAGTCTTTCTGCTTACTGCAGGGAACTGCTGCGAGAGAATTCTTCTGAATGTGAACAAGTTGTCCACAAACACTGGAGGCTCTTAACTTCGTGCTTAAGGAGAAGAGAAAATTCCTTCTCACCATGGCTCAAAGTCTGACCAAAGTCTAATAGTTGGAGGAGCTTAAGGAAAGTGGTGGATGGGACAGAACCTTTTTAACTTTGTGGTGAATTGTTTGCAGGTACCATTCAGGAGGAGAAAACAGAGCAGTTAAACTGAAGAAAAACTAGGAGCAAAGAGGTAGTGACAACACTGAAAAAAACCAAGTGGCTTGGTCCTGTGAACTTCTCAATGTTTTTGTGAGAAAGGATAAGAATAAAGTGGATCTGAAAGCTTTAAATCATGATCCAGATTGTAACTGTGGCGCAGCAGAGACATGTTTGGATGATGACTATGGCTGGGATATTAATACAGTAGTGTGCAACTTGTGGGGAGTAACAGGCAGGAGAAGAAGAGATGTTGCCTTCTATGTTGTGGATTTGTATACTTGCTTTGAGACTGGAGGAGCATCTTTCCTAAGCAATGTGAGTGATTGTTAAAGGGAAGAAAATGGGGCACTACATTTATGTTCCAGGCTGCCTGTCAGTAAAACCAGTGCAGAGCAGCAGTAGATAGCAGCTGCCCAGATGTGCCTCGTTACAGCTGAATGCTGCAGCTGTGAACTGCAGCAGTTTTCACATTGCATTGGCAAGTGGACAAGTAGAGGAACCCCAACCTAACATCTGGTGAGGGTTGGCCAATTCACTACTCTTCGCTCGGTGTCACAGCCTAAGACTGCAGTGGAGCAGTCCCTTTCTTGATTTTTGCATGCTTATATGTATCTTTGCCTGGACCCATGACATACAAGGTTATTTGCTTATTCCCCCTCCCCCCACAGACACAGAGCAGCACTGTAACCTCATTACAGGTCTCAGGGAATTGGATAATTACCAGTCTCTCACAACCAAAGCTTTCATCACTCTTTCCATTTGAAATTGTATAGGCTAGCTCTGACCTATGAGGGTCATCTACCAGTGTAACGTATAATATCTCAGGAATTAGTTTCTCTGATTCCATGCAAGGTCCAGGCCTTTGACCTTCTCAAACAGCTGCAGAAACAGTGATCAACTCTGATCTGATTTCCTCAGCTTTTAGCACCAGTTCCATGGTTTGTGTTATCTCTCTTGTTCTTTGCAGGTTCATCTATGTCCTGGCTGATTCAGGTTAGCAATGTCCGCAGTAAAGTAAGTAAATTCTTGTCAGATCTTTGCCAATATTTTGCTTTACCCAAAACTGAAGTGTTAACCTTAGGCATCAAGGTTGTATAGGGATTAAATGCATACAAAAATTAGGCACCTTGTTCCTGTCCTGGCAAATTTGTCCATAGCATCTTGTCAACATCTCCTGCAGTAAGCACCATTCCATTCATAAGACTCAGCAGTACCGGGGCAGTGTAGCATCACTCAAATACTTAAACACAAGCTTGTGAGAACTGTTACCATTTATATATGGGGCCTTGAGGCAGAGTTGACCAAACCCACCAAGGGAGTCAATTTGCAAGCAAAGTCTTTGAGTCCATAGCTATGCAGTCACATTCATGTGATCACACTCTTTTCCTAGTCTAAAAAGAGTTTTCTCTTCAGCAGCTGGCTGGAGGGTGTCATCCCTGCACATATACGAGTGACGGGCTGTCACTTCAAACGAGCTGAGGGAAGCATTCAGTAGAGTAGTCTGCCATGGTGAAGTAGGCAATCTGTTACCTTACCGAACCAGAGACAATGTTATTACAGAGCTGATGTTCCTTTCCACTGAATCCCATGAAGACAGAACCTGCGCCCTGACTCTGGAGTGAACCATCTTCCTCTGCTTTTATCCTGGGAGGTAAATGCTGTGCTGCCTGAAGCGCATTGAGATTGGAGAGGACAGCTGCATGCAAGGTGATCAGGCATCGGGTTTGCATTGTCTGTTCCACCATTATTATTTTGTCCTCATGGAGATTTTGTGGTTTTGACTATTAACTGAGAATTATCAGCCCAAGAGAGCAACTGCTTTTATCGCAGCCATAGAAACGCTCCCTCCATCCCAGTATAATACAGGCAGCATGACCCGTGTAGCTTTGTACATGTCTTCCCCTCATGACCCCACCTCCCCCTGGAATACTGCCTTACTTTGCTTTTCATTTTTGTTTTATCATTCATGAGTCTGGATCCTCTCCATGAGGCGCAGATTACAATCCAACTGCCTCCAATGGAAAACACTAGCACCAAGCCTCATGTTCATGAAATTTATTGGAGCCATCACAGTTTGTCTTCTTTGTATCACTTTGAGGCCATGAAGGACTTGATACAGTGCATGAAAGTTTTCCTCTACCACATGAAGAACTCATGCAGCAGGTCTGGACACACGGCAGGCCACATCTATGTTATGTCTCATCACGGACTGTGTGTGAGGTGCACGCAGGATCCTCTGTGAAACAAGATGCCCATTCATCACGCTGGTGCTGTTTCCTCATTAGTTGTTCCTCTCCTTGGTGGCAGGAAGGTCCCTTCAGTACCTGCAGGAGGACAGTTTCCTCTTCTGTTCAAATCAACAGCAATGAACAGTCCTTTCCGTTACTGGGGAGCCCTTGTGAATGAACTGACAGCATAAATCACTGGTTTCCCTCTGAAATGACTGGGTATCACTGTGTTAAAGCAAGTGGCAGTTCCAGTGATGTGTAGGCATTTCTTCTCTGCAACTGCCACAGCCAGTGAGGAGTGGGTTTGACCAAGCAAGTAATTTGTTTGCAGTATGTACTGAGTTACTTAGTTGTGTCTTATTTTGAGTAGTAATAATCTTATGAAGATTATAGCACACTGGTGCTTCTGCTGCTTTTTTCAGGCTTTGATCACTGCAACCCTTCTGGAGTCAAAGCCAGAGCAGGTTACTGCACAATGCAGAAGATGCTGAGGCTCTGAGAGCTGGTCCTGGAGCATTTGTAGGGATACAACGGGAGCAGCGCTGTGGGAGGCAGCAGGGAGGAGGGCTGTGCAAACACCCCTCTGCCTGGGCTAATATTTACTGCACCACACTCTGCTCTGCAGGGCTAGAGACAGACAGCAGACACTCACAGCTCGTATTAACACCTGTACACTACAGAAATATTACCCTAATGCAAACAGCCCAGCAGAAGTTAATGTCTATATTCATAGAAAGCTAAATAAAAACCTCTCTCATTTCCTAGCATGACTGCTAGTGCCCC